TTGTTCTGGCAGAAAGGCGGTGGTAGGGCAGAGCATCCCACCAGCGTTTCATCAAAAAAAACGAACTCAAGACGCTATGTGGACACAAACCCTTATAGAACAAACAAATCTTTATTTAATCCTTTGTATTTCATTAAAACTGCCTACTCCTGGATTTGTAGTAAAAGACAAACTAGATGCTTTCATAAAGACAAATAAAACAGAAAGAATGAGGGAACATCAGATCTGGAATAAGCTCATTTGATTCCCTGTTTTATCAGATCATAAGATATCTGATTGGTAAATATTAGATTCAGCTGTTGCCCTTAGAAGACTGATGAAGGGTTGTTTGATTTTGGATACTATGAAGTTAAATCCACATTTGTACGCTTGTCTTCACACGACATTGCCCTCGACAAAGCTGCCCTTGTCGCCCACACCGTATACCGTGTAATGAGAAAAAGAGCCATTCGCATCACGGGACATGTGATGTATTAATCACATTTCCATATCAAAAGTTATACATCATATTGTTGTCAATTGTTGAAGTGACATAATGTTTTCTATGGTATTACATTTGGATGCCTCTCCTTGGAGCAGAGCTGCTAATTAACTTTAGCAGTTTTGAGACAGTGTGATTTGATTTGCCTCTGATTACATTATCAGTCTGTCATCTCAAATATGTGCTACACCACATGCTCGCAGAACTTACTTGAATCAATTTCGTTCGTCTTAGCCCTCTTTGCCTTTCAGTTGTTTTCAGTTATCCTATTTTTAATATAAGAACATTTAGGAGTTTGTTATCCAGGGGTGAACTGATCCAATACACAGGAGGTGATCAATCCACACTAAATACAGATTGCTGTTGATGTCATATTCAAATTGAAATGTCCAGTGTAAAAACATGTACATGTATACAGTATGTGTATACCAACGTATTGAGGTATTTAGATTTGAAAATGTAGGTAATTAAAGGGATCAAATTGATTCTCATGGCACGTATCAGTGGATTAGGTTGGCCACTGTATCCAAAGATTCAAGTTTTCTAAACTGACATTTGCCATTGCCCCCAAAAACAACAGATATGTTCGAAACGTCATCTGAGACTTCATGTCAGCAGAAAGACATCCTTTGTATATATATATATATATATATAACTTTGAGAAAACTTTAACCCTAAACTTCATGTGACTATTACAAGAAAATAAGTTTCATATAACTATGCCTACGTTTGGCAACGTTTAGGAGACACAAATGCAGGAAAACTGTTGATGTTGCAACTCAAGATTTTTCCGAGCACATGTTGGCTTTTGCCAGCATTGAGTTTTCCATTAACCAACTTCTTGCAGAGGAAGATTATGTGATATGGTCAAAGCTTCAGAGCGAGAGATAAAGTACCTTGAGTGCAGACTATTTTGTCAACTTACAAAGTTGTTGTGAGGAAAGTCTTATATATCTTATTATGCTAAGTTTGCTTTAATGTTAGCATGAAGCAGCTTTAGAGCTGTGGACTCCTGCATCTTAATATACTTTACAACTAGAAAGCATTGTTGACTGGTTCTATATTGGAGGTGTTTGTTTGTACTGAGGATTCTAGCTAATCAGAATAAAGATTGATGTGGCCCCAGTATCTGATTATATTCATTAACTAAGAAGAACTAGTAAAAGATCAGAATGAAATTCTGTCTTCCACACACTGGAGTAAACCAACAGATTGTGGTTCAAGGTAACACGTGTTGTTAGGAACACTAGAACAAAGATGTAGGCAAGATCAAACTGATTGTACTGTACTGATTTGAAAGCTACATGTAAAAGACAGAAAACAGATGAAAAGGACGAAGCTGATGAAAGAAGGCTTTCAGCTAAATATCTGATTGCAATTGCTTGCTATGTCAGCTAAGATGAAACAAAAACACAAGTGTGATGTTGTAAAAACTTTGTAGAATTGCACTAACAAAGCTATTAAAAGAATGGAACTAAGCAGTCATTGCAGGAAAAGCAACATGAGCAGAATAACTGTGGGCATCACCACGCTGAGCCAAACAAACTGCAGCCCTGCATGCTGCGTTCAACTCATTTCCATACAGCCACAAACAAATTCTGAAGAACAGTCACCGTAAATCACAGAACTAATGTTGTTTCCGTCTTGTTTTACTGGCTATAACTCCCCTCCTACCTTCATTCATGTATTTATCACTCAGAAAAGCTGTTGCGTTGGCAATTCACTGAAAGGTCTGGGCCGCCTTCTTAAAAAAACGTCCAAGTTAATTTTGCTCCATTGCAGCTGAAAATCAATGGGCATGAAGGACAGCCCCATGGATCATAAGGGCTTTGGAACTAATAGTCAACAGGATAAGAGGGCTGGCGCTGAGGGGTCAGCGGGAACACTGAGCTGTAGGCTCCTGCTGCTGTGCCACTGCAATGAAATAAAGAAAGGGCACAGAGAGAAAGAGAGAGATCAGAGCTTTCTCATAATGTTGTGTTACCCTGCATTGCTTCTGTCCAGCAGAGACACTGCAGGTAATGCTGCTGGTTCTGATTCACAGCACTGCGTATCTGCTGCAAGAGTACGAACTGAGACATTTGATGATTGCACAACCACGTTTGCTATTGTGGTGATACGCGATCTGCCATGTGTTGAAAACTGTTTGGGTTCTATGGTTACATCCCCTGCTAGCTTGCGTCGCCACATAGTAACGCTTTACTTACAACAACGGGAAGCACTACATAAACTCTCTGTCATCTGATTGGTTGCACGTCAAAAGGTCAGTGTTTACTAGGTAAAAGTTTAAATAATTCAACTTTGACTTTTAGTGCAGCGCTCGGCCACAATTTCGAGCGGTGTGCTACGTCGAGGGTAGCTCGTCCACGTAGGCGGGCCAATTTAGCGCGTATTATGTGAAATGCAGCTTTACTCTGAGGTAACAAATCATAGAGCTTCTGCTTGTGCTCTTTTGATCTTAGAAATACATTTATATCGCAGTGTTTCCCTCATTACAGTAGATACACATTTGTACAGGCAGTGCATATTCTTCTGGCCCCATTCAATGTGAAGTACAGTAATCAGGGTATATAAGAGCACACCTGCACATGATGTCTACAGTGTTATGTTAGCTTAAAGAGATGAGACTGATTCCTTCCAATATCGGTATCGGATATAATTGTAACCCACACAGGCTTGTGGAGTACAGATTAGATGTAACGGGATGAAGTAATCGCGATACAAAATAAGTACATGTATTCCCTTATAGTTACATTAAAGGGCCCATGTCATGCTTTTCCGGTTGTTACTCGTCCCCTTGTGTTATGAAGGTTTTTCTGCATGTAAACGGTCTGCAGAGTCACAAACCCTCAAAGTACACCCTGTAGCGAGTAAAACTCTAACACAGAAAGGACCTCCCCAAAACGCCTCGTTGGAGATTTCTCATTTACTTCCTGGGTATCGCTCGCTACGTAGGGATATGCAGTAGCCACGCCCAGAGCTATGGCCGCACCCTCTGCCAGCCTTTCACGAAACAAAGCTTACCAAACCTTTCAGCGATTCATGCCGGGTATGTATGGGATTAGTTGTGTAGTGTGTATCATAAAGATAAAGCAACACTTTCTTATTATAAAGCAAAACTATGACTTTAAAAGAAGAACAAAACTGAGTCAAGCAAAATAAAATAAATTTCAAAAATAAAACTATAAGTTGCAAACAAATCATTTGTGTAATCATGTAAACTATAAGTCTTTTTTCTTTGTTTTAACATAGGTTTTTGTTTGCAGTTCTTGTTTCTTCTTTCTCGATGATCAGACTTTTGCTCTCGCTGCAGCTCTTCTCATTTGCGCTCCTTCACTTTTTGTTTGAGGGGCAGGAGCTCCAACAAGCCGTTTAGGATAGAGTGAATACCGGTGAAGACACATACTTTACAGAGATGCTGTATGAGAAACCAATGTGAGTTTGGAAAATTGCACAATATAAATCTATTTTAGTAGACCTCAACAATGGAATTATGATCAGTAGAAATGGCCATGACATGGGACCTTTAAGAAAAAATGTAATCAGATTCCCCTTATTTAAAAAGGGGATTACTTGCAGGATTACAATGTATCAATAAAGACCAATATATTATAGGTAGACCTTCTGCCTGCATTTTCTTTTTGGTTTTCATTGAGGCTACTTTCATTCTTTTCTTTTTAATGCAGTAGGTGGACACCTGATTTATTAAAACAATAATACTGTTTGCTTTTAATTCGTATATTAACCTTAAACACCTTTTGTAAACTCTACTATTCTGTAGGCCTAATTTTTTTTTAATCCTAAATATCTTGGTTTCTTCTTTTCTAAGTTCACATTGTTCTTTTGTCTTAAGACATTTAAGTAAAAAACATCTTATTGATATACATATTCGCTTGTATTTATTTGGATTGCTTCTTTTATTGTGATACTCATATTAGGTTACTGATTAAATCTGTTTACAGGAATCGGTAACTGTAATGGATTACATTTTTAAAGTAACCATCCCCACCCTGCCTATACATATAAATATGTATTAATGGAGTTGCGGATCGAAAACTGTCTTTTCTCTCTAGGTCTACTGAACAACACATTGCACGCAACACTCCTGCAGCCGTCTACCAGGTAAACATGGCAGGCCTGTTGTTAAATCACATTTATGGTCTTCTGGCTCTTAAAATGGGGGCTTACTCCCAGTGCTTCAAATGCATATTTTGCACAGCAATTTATGAAAAAGCAGATTCATTTAAAAGTTGTTGACAGGGTTTTTGGATAGTGTAGATACTTCTGAACAAGTTTCTCATGCACATTTGACACAAAAAGAGCTCTGGTTTTAGTATTGGCAGATGTCACAACTCAGGTAAAGGAATGGAACAGAACGAAGTGGATTGGTGCAACTCTATTAGCTTGTTTCTTGTATCGAACTCCTTCTGTTGAGGCAATATTTTTCGACACGCTATGCAACTGCATCTATACCCAATGTGGTTTACCTATGTTTGTGCCCTGTCCCCCCCCCCCCCAGGCATTGTGTCCCTGATCTCCCTGGCGGTCCTCTCCTATGAGCGCTACAGCACCATGGTGGCGCCCACTGAGGCGGACGCCTCCAACTACCGGAGAATCTCCCAGGGCATCCTCCTGTCCTGGCTCTACTCCCTCGCCTGGACTCTGCCGCCACTCTTTGGCTGGAGTAGATATGGTCCCGAGGGTCCTGGGACCACCTGCTCTGTGGACTGGACAGCCAAGACGGCCAATAGCATATCTTACATCATCTGCCTGTTTCTGTTCTGCCTCATCACACCCTTCCTGGTGATCGTGTTCTGCTACGGGAAGCTGCTGTGCGCCATCAGACAGGTATGGATACTAAAACTGCAGTGCATAAATGAGCCTGGGGGCTTTTTCAACCCCTTCTGGTGTGTTTAAAGTAATCTATGGCTATATTTTCAACACTGAAACCACATATTTCAAATCCCATATGCTTTAGTAGACAAAATGATGAGTACATGCTGGAGAATAGCTCACATTAATTCTGGCATTGTAAGCTGAAAATGTTAATACATTCATTTCATTTACAGGCTCATTACAGATATTCCCCCCTTTTGCTAGAAACTCAGCAAAGGTCAAACAAAAAGGTTAATATTAAATAAATGGCTGTGTTTATAGAGTCCAAAGTGCTATGCAATTTGCCACAAAATTGAACTACTCCCACCCACACAGTGCGACCGAGTTCAACATAATTATTGTTCATGGTAATAACACCACCACATTAGTATTTTCTTAGGTTAAAATTACATTGTAGTACACTTTTACCCACAGAGAGTCATTACCAAACTCTATGGTTCCTTCAATTCTATGGAGGGTTTTGGCGTATTGTTCTGGTTTTACATCCAGTGTCTGTCATTTTTGATTTGTTGCTGTCATGAACCTTGTACCAACAGCAGCAGACATCTATTTTAAAAGAAAACGCCCTCTCTATATATCACCTATAGAGCACCGTCAGAAAGAGTTGGCAACTAGCTCAAGAAGATAAAGGTGCAGGTTTTTCTATAATGTGTTGGAACCGCCCAAAATAGACTTAAATGAAGAGTATATATACGATTTTCTTGAGGTGAATAGAGATGTAATCCAAATGAATGCTAATGTTTCTCCACGTCTAGTGGAGGTGTAAACCGGCCACGGTAATCTCACTGCTTCACCATATAAAGATACAAATGTTGGGTTGTCTGTTTCTGCTGCCTTACAAAAAGGTTTAAGAAGTTCCATCACCAGAGAAAAAGTTCTTTATAACAATAATGCTTAAATAAAATGAAAAAACTCCTGAGATGGTATCATTACTTGCCAGCTGATTTCAGAAGATTCAGAGTATCTGACTCTCTGCAACGATATTAAATGCAGCCCAAGACCTTTCAATTTAAGATCAGAGGCAGCAATAGTGGAAGTATAACTAAATTCAAACTTCTAGAAATGGCGTTAAATTAAATAACTGAAATAAATAGAAACTAAAACAATAGACTCTTGCAATCTAAATGTCATTGAAGACAGCATTCTTGTTTTTAGGAGAGGAGTTTCATACACCTAAACTAATTTGTCTGCATGGAGTGCAAAATGTGTTCTATGGGTTGTGAAATGTTTTCATTGAATCCAAAAATAATTGCATAAAATACAGACATCAAGTTCAACAGTTGTGCTCAAGTACGCATCGAGATTACATTCTAACACTTAAATATCATGTGATAATGGTAAGTTGATTATTATCCTCAGCTTTAATAGAGATCCACCAATGCCTGTTTGGTGACTCACAGCTCCCAGATTTAACATCATTTGCATAGCTAAATATAAAAATGAATAGCGCCCACTCTGAACTGAAAAACTTCAGAGTTCAGCAGAATAACAAACTACTTTTCTCCTAAAACTGAAAACCTGCAGCTGCATGTCAAACGGCTGTTTTATTCCAAAGCTTATGATGGTTATGAATCATAAACCGTTGGTTCTATGGCACTAAAATGATCATCAGTGTGAAGTCCATAATACCAGTCTGGTTCTTTCTCAGTGGAGTTATATTTTGATGAGTCAAACTGCATTTGGTTCAGACATTAATCTAAATGACTAGATTGATGGGTTGTATACACTGGTTCTGAATTCAAAATGAGAAGAGCCAGAGCCCGCATATATTAATAAAAATACATTCTCTCAAATGGGCTCTCAGGATATCAGATTTTACTTTTATTGTGACCAAATTAGGGTTAGGGTTAGGGTTACACTTAGGAAGTTACACCTATTTAGTAAAGCTCCGGAAAGGTGGTTAGGGTTACAGTTAGGGTTAGGGTCACCTAACTGGTCACCAAATGTTCAGGCAATGTGCATACACAGGAGTGATGTAGTTGAAAATGTAATGGAAAGTGTAAGAGAAAATAACGTTTTCATGAGGATGTTGCCCCTGTCCGTTTGCAACACAATTGCAGTTCATGAAATATTGCCAAACTATTATACTAATAACTAAAATATTATTATTCTTCACGCCTGTTGCTAATGTTTATGTACCTCTTATTATGGGTAAATGTGATCCAATTTAAGCTGTTTATCGATTTACACCTTTATAACCCTGAATCAATAGTATTTGCATTGCATTAAACATTTACAAATGGCCTTATATTTCAGATCAACAGCAATGTTGCACTAATCTTCTCTTTGCTGAGAGGAAGTATAGGAAGTTCTTGGCTGCCCTCCAATATGTATTTGGGCTGACTGAGTGAAATGACCTCAAAGTGTCAATCTGCCATCCAAGTGCTGGTGGAGTCCTCCTAAGGAAAGCTTATTCAATTATTCCTTTCTTATCCTATCTAGTATATTTAGCATAGGGTACAAAAGACCATCCTTTACCTTTAAAGGAAAGGAGAAAGGTGTCCCACAACTCTTTGTGAGATCATCTGACCGTCACTGGACAACAGATCAAACGTTATATTTTTCATAGTCGCAAGGTTTACAACTCACTCAGAATGTAGGGGTATCGTGTTTTGTCAGTTAAACAAGATGTGTGTACGTGTGTGTGTGTGTGTGTGTGCGTGCGTGCGTGCGTGCGTGCGTGCGTGAGTGCGTGCGTGCGTGTGTGTGTGTGTGAGTGAGCCTGCTTGCCTTTACTCTTCTCTATAAATCTACTTCAGTTCACCATTCATGATGCTGGGACTTTTTTTTACAATATTTATCAATTTATTACATCAGTTTCTTTCTCTTTCTAGTCCTTCTTTAGTCCCCGCTCACATCCAATTGTTCCTCATAGGAAAAAAGCACATCTTTAGAATTGAATGAGAGGCAAGGGAACATATTTAATTATGTTTCTCTCTTTGTGTGTGTCTGCCTTTGCACATCTGTATTTTTCCTTTCCTTCCAAACTCGTATTCATCCCTTAGATGTGGCCTTCAGTTTCATTGTCCCTTGTCTCTCGTCCTTTATCCGTCCTCAGTGCAGGACTACATGTGCGTTTCTTTGTCTTTGCTAGTTTTAATAACCCGCTCTGCTCTTCAGGGTTGTTCCTATCCCACTGACAATGCAATGTAAAGTAAAGGCTATAGTTCTCCTGTCACATTGTGTTACGCATCATCAGCTGGGACACAGTAGTAGCAGAACAACTCAACCGCAGAAGAGCGGCTCGATGGAAGCAGTCCACAAGGGAAGCACTGAGAGTAGGGATTGGTTCGAGTCGATCTGAGTTCACTGTACAATTCACTAACTCTGTACCAATGTTCAGAGGTGAGTGAGTACACAGAGAGCGGGTAGGATGTATAGGGCTGCAGAATATATCGTTTTGTATGGGGGTGGTTTGTCTCAGTCATTTGTTTGAACAGATCATTAAGTGTGTAATCTGTAAATATAAAGCACCTTCCTCAAATGCAGCAAAAGGATTTGCAAACTCTCAAAACTATTTTGCAAATATTAAAAGGATCTGCAAATACACAATGAACATATCTCGAAAGATGTGATTCCGATAATGCATACAGAGATATTGTCACGGAGGCACTAGGTGTGGACCCAAAAGCACGGAGGCAAACACAGGATTCAAGTAGAAAATAGTCTATACTTGAAATGTAGATCCAGTACAAAAATATTATGAATACCAGAATCACAGGATCAGCAGATCCAGAAAAATACATACAATAAATAATCTACACTAATCAATAAACTAGAAAAATACAACTACCTGATCTTACCTTACTATAACTATATATGTTGACAAAGACTATAACGGTAACTTTGATACGATCTGTAAACACTGGAGAGCTCGGCATAAGACACAAGACAATCTGGCAACAGACAAGGGGAGACAGGACAATTTATACAAGAGGTAAGTGAGCACAGGTGGAAACAATCAGGGGCGGGGCAGACATTGATGATGGCGGGAAAACAACCAAGGCAGGAAGTAAAGGGACCTGGAACGAGAAAAGGTGAATACAAAATAAAACAGGAAGTGGAACATAAATAACTAAACTAATATAAAACATATAACACAGTTGCGGACGCACAACAGATTTTTTACCAAGCTGAGAGTATAGTAAGTATAAATGTCAGTGGTTCAATTCCCAGTCAAAAATGGATTATCAAAAGGTATTTGTTTTGTGATGGCAAATCACAGCTGATGTTAAATTGAACAAACTTTTATCTACGGATTGATATGACTGCACATATTCTCTGTGAGTGAACATTATCAACCTCTGAAATTACGGAATTGACCAAAGAGAATCAAGTATTCAGCTAAGCTGTGTATTAAGTTTAATTATCTCATGTAATGTTGCTTTTATTAAATGTTATTGTCTATTTTCCTCATATCCTAAAGCTCTGTTAGTTTGGTGGGAAGTGATACTTTAGATTATACATGTTATGATTGGCAAGCGGACAGATTATTGGTTGTCTATGTTTTAAGGTTCAAGGTTCAAGGTTCTTTATTTGTCGTACGATAGCTACAGAGTAGTTATGTCGATGAAAATCTTAGGTCACAGGCTTCTCCAACAGTGCAACACAATAATACAAATAAACTGAAAAATATCGGGCAAGTTAATATTAAAAAGTAAATACAAAAATAAAAATTGTTTAAAAAAAGTGAAATAGTGAAATAAGAGTCTATATGCAATCTATTGGAATGATATATTAGATAAATAGATACATAATTACTAAGTAGCAGATGAATGTTATGGATGTTGTTTCAACAGTTCAGGTGTTTAACAGTCTTATTGCCTGCGGGATGAAACTGTCCCTGAGTCTGGTGGTTTTTGTCCGGATGCTGCGGTAGCGCCTGCCAGACGGCAGCAGACTGAACAGTTTGTGGCTGGGGTGATGGGGGTCTTTTATAATCCTGAGGGCTT